TAAGATTTTCAAACCACGAATATCGTTATGTAGTCGCGTAAAACCTACCTATCATGAAGCCTTCTACATTACAAATGTGATCAAGCCACCTCATAAGTGCAAGGTGCATGTTTTATGCTATAGGGAAGAAGAAACACAAAGGTGGAGCCCATGTTACGCTACGTGCAACGTGCATACTAGTTCTCTATCTCGAACTACATAAGCATATTACAAATTCCATACACCGTAAATTATATAAGGAAATGGTGACTGCACGAACCAGAATAGAGTATAGTCCATTCGACACCTTCGAGCAAGGCAAATTATATTGATTACATTTTATAGTCGGCTTGATATATAATAAGGTCGGTCCTGTGTGATAAAGGAAAATATCGTGAGAAAACTATAACTCATATACTGTAGAATTAGATATGAACTTGAATTATTTCATGACCTCGACGGGCGCATGGCAAACTTCACGGATAAATTCGACGAACACGTATTATATTAGGGACAATATGACATACTTCGATATTCAGATAACTTTCTAAAATGCACCAGTGTACCTTTCATTATAATTTGAAGCTTATACGATGCCCTTACATTGTCGTACACAAGAACATGGATTTTGAATGATTCTCCGAAGTATCGCAACGGTGCTACTGGGGTATATGAGGCGCTGGCTACCTCGTGTACACAGCACGGGTCATCAGTTCCGACAAACAACAAAACTGATATATGACAAATAATGTATAGTCATTGTTTCAAAATAGCAGTGGTCATTGTAGTTGAAACTATCTTCTCGGTTTTTCCAGAAATACTGACGGTATAAAAACGCGCGTCAGAAGCAGCCTCACCATAACAGTGTCCGATTTAGCTTTGCCCTTTTTAGAAACAGATATAATACACCCGGTATTTAGTAATAATATGAGCGTTCAGCTTCTTTATATATGTAGAAATGTGGTTCGTAACAGGACTAGAGTTTCGCAGTCTCCAAACTACGTTTACCGACCTATTGCTTGTAACGCTTCTGCTAAGATAAGGAAGCTTATTCTGACCCCAACTTGAGGCCGTAATAACTTACTTTTTTTCCTGCTTCTCACCATGTAACGATACTTGAATTTGGGTACCTGGAATTATTCCTTCTTCCCTTACAATTATTCTCGCAACAGCCATGTTCGCGGGCAGGACAGGAGATAAGGCATAGCCTCATATGTATGTACACATTGACGGATACGCAGAGTAATAGTAATTTCGTAATGACCTCCTCGGTTTGTCATATCGGCCGCGCTATGAATTCACATCGGGAACAGCTTAATTCCAACGGCGATCCAAATCATAGACGAAGCGGCTTGAAACAGCGCCAATTAAAACTATGGCAACAATGACGTACTCGCTTTCAAGAAGTCTTCAATCGTGTACAACCGTTACCATTAGATACAGTAACACGTTATTCAGTCATTCAACGCTGCTGAAATCAATGTGTTGAACCACTTAATAATCATTTGTCTTTCTAGATAAAACAATTGTACTTTTTGCATTGCAGCTATTTACCAGTGTTTACATTTACGTCATACACGAATCAAAAACAATCTGAGACCAAGTGTTGTTAGTACGCTAGAAGCTTACCGGCTGCTCCCCGTACTAGCTGTCTTGTTGGCAATTCCCGTACGAAGATCGGATTAATCTATAGATTTGCTACTACCCAACTAGGAGTAGCGAAAATATTTTGAGACGTTCGAGAGCGCACGCCGCTGCTAGAATAGAAATACGTTTGCTACGTGACAATGCCATTGAAAATTACCGAATTTCCTGGAGATAATTGTTACGGCGATCGTCTTTTGCTGATTGTTACATTTGCGAGCGTCCAGGCAAGATCTGACGCGACTTAATCCATGATAACGAATAAGTATAGTCTACTCTGTGAAAACAGTTGTTCTCCCATAACAAAACAGACGAGACACCTCAGATATGAAATAACGATAAATATAGTGATCATGGTAGATATTCAATCCTCGAATATAACTGTGACCAACAACAAACAGTATACTAAATCTAACTATTATATATATATAAATCTTCACGACATTTGATTAGAATGTATCATAGAGATAATTTTCTATATAAAACTTCGGATCCATAGCCGAATCGAACGTTAATCATTCTTCTGTGATGAAGTCCGATAACTAGTGTTTTGCCGTATAATTAACAGCTTAAGCAAACAGATCGTGAATCAATTCGGCTGGCAGCAAAGCAAAGCTTGACAAAGTGGGGCAAGAAAAAATCTTTCTGGCACAGATTCGTCACCAGATAAAAATTATGTTTATCTTAACTTTAGTCTGCCTAAAGCGAACCGCAACAGGTAAGTTGTGAGTAAAAAAAATCGTGGTTCGACAAGTTAACTTTCGCATCAAGAAAAGCTGACTGAATTCTGGCAAGTAGAATGTTCTAATTTTGGTTTGGAGAAATACGAGCAAAGAACGTAGGGCACAGCATTATATGGAACTGGGTTTGAACTAGATTTTACGCCACGTGAGAGTATTGCATAGGTTATTTAACATATTTAAACGAGGCTGTCAAAGCTTTACTAGATAAATTATGGAGCTCGACAAAAATTACTCCTGTAAGCTAAAGGATGATGGTTTGAAGTAGACTAAATTGGTCGACCTTAATTGACCTTAAGCAGAAGAAGCCTGATCGTTGTTGTAGGTGGAAACTATAACGGCATGACAAAATAACGGTACGGTTTTTTCTATTACTATATTATCAGAAAAGGTGGACTAGACGCTCGAGTGAATCTGAAGAAACAAACCGCTAAGAAGGCTCTTAAGCCCAACATGCATTTGAGCATATCGCATACGAATTCCTATAGCTCAAAGTAGAGAAGCAGAGTGGAATGGCTTTTTGTCTAGGTCTAAGAATATAGATACATATCTATGTAGGTCTTGGTCGTCGTTATCGTCGGCGCCGAAGCAAGAGGCGGAAGAGGGACTCAGCCGCGAACAACTAGGATCGGCGGAAAGACGCGTGACTGGAAAGAAAGACCGCGCTCGTACCGCACGGGGAACAAACATCTTCATGCAGTACAAAATCGCAGATACGAATTGCAAAGGTCCTGTGAAGGAAAGATCATAAATGGAAGTGCGACAACGCCAGGACCATTAGAGGACTAGAAATGGCACGTAGCCGCTGATTTCCCATACGGCATACGTCTGGCATCTTCTGTCATTGAAGCTACTAGTCCTTCAAGTCGAGTCCTGCCTTCCGTCCTTGCTTTAACCTCGCGACCACGTGGACCTGACGCCGTTACTGGTACTAAAAGTTGCCCCGAAGGCCTACTTCTCGCAACAGCTTTTACGGCGGTACGATCGGTAGCTGATGTGTCCTCGGTCAGACTCTCGCACAGCTGACTGCTTCCCAGATTTTGTGGCCCTGTCGCTTCGATAGCTTTAGAAGTAGCCAACGTTGAGAGGAAAGTTGGATATAGACGTTATCAATAAATCGGGTAGAAATCGGGTAGAGTGCAAATTATAAACATCGAGGGAAGCCATTACGGCATCTCTACGAAATGTTTTCTAGTAAGTGATAATGGTCAACAATTAACAAATAGACAATTAAAAGAACTCTTTGACCATAAACAGGTACACTATCAGATAAACCTTATATCTTTCTAAAAGCTATGGCGGTATATGAAGAACAGTTTGCTAAAGCTTGATAAATACTTGCGCCAGTCTTCGCGAAGCCCTAGCTAAGGTTTTGATTCGTGTTCGCTGTTTAGCTACAAGGAAAACCATTTTTTTCGCAAATCTTCCTTTATGATGACACCAAAGAAATTTAATAACGAAACAGAAATATTGTAAGAAAAACAAAATTTCACGTAGGATAAGAAACAGTTTGACTGTGTATAGTAATGGTACAGATGATAAAACAAGAAAAGCATTACTAGAAAACGTTGCTAAGTTTTGTAAACATTGGTAAGTCATAGATTTCGTGAACACTTTTAAAGAGCCGAAACAATATATCATACTCGTTTCTACCACGACCTACAGATGGCGACCTTGAGCTTTAGTTAGGGGAGTTAGTCCAAAACAAACTTATCGTAACAAATCTACTAACTCTTGGGTATTATGAACAAATCATTTAGGGACCGCTAAACGGTTGTTAAGATCCGCTTAGGAAAATTAATTAATCAGGCTCATTCAAAGATTCAAACGCCAAAGCGGAATAAAAAAGAAAAACAGTATAATAGGGCTAGGAGAGCTTGGTATTCTGAAATATAATCTATATAATAGTTAACACCATATCTTTCAACTAGCAAAACGAGTTTTCCGATCATAACGAAGAGAGTAAAAAATGATAACAGTGGAAGAAGAAGGCGTAAGCAAGCTTGCTCAGACTCTTGAGGCCTTATTTGTTGCTTATCCTATCTATTACTTTTGTATTCATAACTTTATACTCGACAGATGAACCTCCTCCATTGCTGATATAAATAATAAGCTATAATCATCAGGATCTTTCTGACCACAACTTTTGTTACCTATGTCATTTAGTTCATTCAGCTAGACTAGAAATTCAAACCTAAGCTACGAATTTATCTGCGAATTTTGCTCCTGGCAAAGCTAAAATTCTCAGGCCTTCCCTATTTATCGATCTTTCTGCCTCTCCATTGACGTTAAACTACCTCGTACCAGCGGTATTCCGCTTTCCAATCCTCTGCCTGCTTAGAACTCTTACTCCTATAAAATATGCTGGTGTTAGCGGACGTAAGACATCAAGATTGCTTTGAGACTACCTCGTCAGCCGTAGCACGTGCTCGATGACAACATCGGCACGTGGGTTTGTGGCCTGCTATAGTGTTCGTTTTCCGAGATTGTATCGTTTACAGCCAACGATTCAGCTTGGGGGCTATCCCGCCGCTGTGGCGGCTTATCCCAGGATAACCCGCCAACACCCGCTACATCTGACGGAGAAGTTTAAGGATAACGGAAGGAAAGGGCAGGATAGCTGGAGTATAGCCGGCCGGCTAAGCTGATCGGAGGAGATAACAAAGTGAAATGAGTCACACATCCCCACGACCTATTTTATCGCGCGCAGAAGAGCACGCAGGAAGATGTGAGTGAACGAATGAACGGCCGAGTGAAGTGAGTGAGTATAAGAAGTAACGCAGACGCACTCATATCCGTCTGACTCTGCTATATGGACAAGAGGAAAGAAAGCGCTCAAACAGCTCAAAAGGTCTTTAAACTCGTTGACGCCAAGCAAGATAGTCCTAATAGTTCGCCAACATGCTATTATAAAGTGAGGCATGAGGTTATTACGAACATTAAGATGACGTAGTGATCAGTCAGTGATTACATGGCCTTCATGGACAGAGAGTAGGACAACCAATAAGTTGAAGTTGTTTTTTAAAGATAAGGCTTTCCACTGGACAGATTTGCTGCAGCTTCGAGCAATTCAGTTAGTAGATGTTTGATGATTACGATAATGCGACGAAGGCTGTTTTAATGTACACAATGAACGAGCCGTTGTCTAAAGCGAAACATATGTGTATGTTTGAAAAAAATACAAATTTTAAAGTGTCTTTATTTTTTTTTTTAGCTTTACGTCGGAAATGATAGTACCTAATCAAGATTGCGAGTCACGGTATTTTGCGGTAGAAGTTGGTGGAGGATGGAAGAAAGGTTAAGGAAGACGCTTCAGACGCCTTAGTTTGCCAGCAATTTGCTTCAAGAATATCATAGTGATTGAAGGTGCGCATTTGTAGTAAAAAAAATCACACACTACAATAATAAAACAAAACAATTTTTTTAAAAATGCGCAATTATTATATGCAACACCAGATGAGAAATGAAGCTGCTGTTGTTGTTGGAGTCTCGTCATATTGTCTGTACTTTTCATACTCTATTATCATCGTCATCATTGTTATAACTTTTATGAACAGGGAATTCGGCGATACTCGCGATTTATTAGCGCCTGACTGACCGTCAAAGTAAATGAGTCATTCAGTTAGCAGCAGAGTAGCCAGCTTCGTTTCGTGTTATTGTTTTTAATGAAGAGAAGTAACACGAACTCTGTTTATGCGAGCGGATATGTGGCGATAAGATGACCCTCGAACAACAAAAAGCCATTCGACCATTACTTTTATAGATGATTTCATGCTAACGCGCTTGTCTTCCGAGTGAAGACAAATATGCATAGCAATGGATCCAACTCGAGGCGTGGCAGCTATTGTCACGGCGGCACAGAAACAAGTGAGTGGCTGTTATCAACGGGGCAGCAGGCTGTCACCATGAATAATATGAAATCTAGACAATTTTCAATATACTCGTATCTGTCGAAGCCAGTGAACGCGCTGTACGCGTCAACATCGGATTCTATTTAGATGCGCAAGAAAACGAGCGTGGAGGCAAACGCGGACGTTGCGTGACGAAGTACGTCCGCCGCTGTCCTTACAGTGATCGTTTGTGCCACTTGTCGGACAGTCGACGGGATGATTATTCATTTCATACGTACACAACGCTTGTCTGTGCACTGACTTTGACGTAACGTGAACCTTTATGTACATTTTACATATACTCTGTGTTGTTTATATCTGTGACGCAGATGGCTTGTCAATCTAATTGGTTCTTCTTTATTGACAAAAGCAGCAGGGGGTAACATGACAAGCGTGGTAAGTATGTACAGTTATTAATTGTCAAGGTTCAATCAAAGTAACAGTTGTTTCGGGCATTTCGATGATCGTCAGTGATAACCAAACTAATTGGATATAACAGTATCTTTTTTTTTAGAATCATCTCTTTGTTGGCTGAGATGTTTACATGAGCTTATCGTAGACAGTTGGAATCTTTTTCCTCTCCAAAAGGAAAGGTTTTTAACCGTGAGTGTTTATGACCATTAATACTACATTGGAACACAAGAAATGGCGAATTTCCCGAGTGTTTCCTTTATGCTTTTACCTTCCGCGATAGGATTCCTTCTATCTGTTATTGAAGTGCTTTCTCTCCACCATGAACTCGTTGTAGTTCATTACAACGCAAAGGACGATACTTTGCCTCGTGTTTAGGCTTCAACAGTATTTGTTCTCGGTAGAACGAATTGCCCATTTGACACCTACCCTATTTCAGGCCAAATCTACATCTCAAGAAGAAGAATGTTTTGGTACAGCTAAAAAAATCCTATGCACTGATAAACGTTTTGATTAAACCGTAACAGTAAGGTCTGTGCGACAGCGACGTAAGGTTTTAGTCAGCGTTTTCAAGCAACAAAGCTTGCAGATTTCTCTGTTCCTACGAGTCCTGGATGGATCGACACTTTAGTATTACTTCGACGGTGCCAATTATCTAACTGTGTTGAATTTTACGCGCAGTACCGCTACCGAGCATCGCTCTCGGCATAGATCGAAGTGTTTAGGGCTGGGTTTTAGCCCAGATCACCTCAGTTGTCAATTATCTAACCTGTTGAAAAGAAAACCTGTATGTCTATCTTGGCAGGCTCTCAAGCATCATGTATGATAAACTGACACCAACTGAATACTTATTTAAGCCGTTCCTTAAAGTGCCGCCCGGCGTAAATGTTAATTACAACTTTAAGCCCTTCTTCATCCCTGATTTTTTCAACACTCTTGCTGCAATGATCCGCATTATAAATTTACATTGCAAACACAGCTGTTGTCGCTAGTGTTGTTGACGTAAAATACTATGCAACACGTATGAGTGAGCTAGCCGACGTGTAAGACGGAATTGTAGGATTTATCTGCTGCCACTTAGGAGAAAACACTTAATCATTAAGCAAACATGCGTCTACATCAGTTTTTATATCGTATCTATCTTTGCAAAGCGAATGTTTTTCACTTAAGCGAAGTGTTGCGCAATTGGCTTTCTCATATCTTCTCTACGGCAATGTTGTTTTTTTGTCATTTAAACGCTAGCTTGCGCTACTAGTCTTAGAATGATACATGTTATTAATGTTATTACATTTATGTGCATAAACAGTTCCGGTTTGTCTAGCACGAATGGATACGAACTCTGCTATTTACGAATAGATACGTACGGACTGCTTTCGGCGTTTCCAGACTATAATAGAACACGATGAAATTAAACATCTAATTCAACTTGGGTTAAATAATAGAACGTATTAACTTGTGCACATATATTTACATCTTATATTAGATGTAGATTGAGCGCTTATATGCAATGTACAATTTTCGAAATTGTGAAATTTCGATATTATGCATTTCATAGGAAACGTTTCGAAATACCGCCATGGGTACTACCCATGGGGCTGTAAAGTGAGGACATAGATAACCTTCGGATTGTTTAGGTTTAACTAATAAGACATAGATAATAATTAGCAGAGACAATTGAATGAATACGAAGATTATCGACAATAAGCGGGAACAAATAAATATAGTGGCTGATAAAATTACCAGCTCAGCTAATGCTTTTTTCCCAGTTTTGATTTTAATTTAACGTAATTGGGTGTCATTAGCTACCTGCTTACCTTGGCACAGCGCTTCTTTTTTTAATAACCTATTATATATAATGCACAACAATAAATGAGGGGCGCAACTGTAGAAATAAAGCAAATCGTCCATAGCTGAAGACGAAGCATGTCAAATCTCGCAGACGCTCGCAGTACGGTAAGATAGTATACGATGAACAAATATTTACTTATTTAATTTAATTTAATAAAAATACTTTAATTAAATTTAATTTAATAAAAATGTATGTATGTATATATCAAAAACTATTTCGTATATGAAACGAATAAAGTGATCCCATTTTTTCGCATTTTCCATTAGTTAGTGGTCGTTGAACGTAGACAATTCAGGGCATCAGTCAAAAATCTTTTTTTTTTATCTCATTAAGAGGGCTTTGGAGCTGTTATCTGGATGTTAGATTAAACGTGTGTATGCATATTTATACGTAAACGTAGTACGTAAAAACGAAAATACAGAAAACGTACGTTTTTTGTCAAATCCATCTACAATGTTTCTGTTAAGATTTACCAACGGGAAGTACCAACGATTCGAAGTTCCCTTGATTATGGAACAGTTTCCCATGCTTAAGCCATACCTGTAAGTTTTACGAAGAAAAAAAGATGGAATTATCTCATTGCCGCACTTGTTATTTTTTAGACGATTCTTAAAAATGTTAGACATATACTCTATTACGAAAGATGTCCCATCAATGAATCGAAGTGTTATGCCTTCCATTGTGTTTCAGTCGGTCAATAAAGATTCAGTTGAAACACTATACGATTTGTGTTAACTCGCATTGGCCCTAAAAGACAGAAGATGTACGGAACGGTATCAAGACACGTATGGGGGCATACACAAAAGAGAGTAGCTTTTAGAGTCATTTGCGATGGGTTGAAATTAGCGTTATGAATGACTATTGATACAACAACTGTCAAAATCGCGGAAGTACAATGTTCGTACTCTGCCATAGATATAGGCTTCAAATGGACGTCTATTTTAACTAGTATATTCAGTCTCAACATTGCGCTGAGTATTTTCAGTATTTGCAAAACGACATAGGAACCTGTAACAGTGAAATACATAGTTACTTCGCGTAGGTACATAATACGGTATACCATTTGGACAAAAAAGCGGAATCAGACGATTAAGTGCGGCTAAGAAAACGCCCATATGCCCCTGAAGCTGTTGTTAACTTAACATTAAGATTAATATCGAGTAAACTGCGAAGATATATACCTCTGTATGGTTTCGACGTCCTGCTGGTCCAGCCTGCTCCAAATGCAGTCGTAGCCTACTATGTCAGCTGCCGCTAATGATCTAATCAGGATAACAGACAATTTTACTTTAGCGTTGTTCTCCTTAATAGAGGATGCTTTAAACCCTGCCAGTATACACGACAACCTACATAGAGTTGATGTTCATTGGTTCATCTTGTTTAGCGAACAGAGTGCTTTCGCCCTCAGGAAAGCAGTTTTAGTAAATGTTATTGATAGACAATTTGTCTTTCGACACGTTGGCAGCTGACTTCCATTTTCTTGGGCAAGATTCTTCGTGAAACTCGACTACAAACAACGTCCTTCTGGGCATGTCCTCATGTACGATGTTATTAACAAGATGTCTACGAGACGTGAAGATCGCGAAGCTGTCAGCACACGCCATGGCACGTGGGTTTCGTTCGACACCTACACGCGCAGTGGTTCGCATAGTGGCAGTACCAAAACGCTGCCGGTTAAGAAGGCTTTTATGAACCATAGTCAGCAACGTTGATTATTCGGTTTAATTAAGACTTAAGGCTTACACTTACTTAACAACAAATGAACTTCATCAGATAACTTCAGATTGACATGACGGCGGAGTGGTTTTTGTGGTGACCTACATATCAAAGCTTAAACAAAATGCAATTTCGTGTTTAAAACACATCTCCAATACAACAGAATAGACAAGTACTAATATATATACAAGGTATTATTATTAGTATCGTTGTTCTTTTTACATTAAACATCGATAGCTTGCGTTCTGTAGCTGAAACAGGAACTTTCCATATCGCCTTTCATAGTGCCTTTTTATATCCTTAGTGGCCTGAGGTAGAGATCTTCTATTTCATTTGTTGAATTGATACACATTAAAGAGATAAACGAAAAAAATAAGAGATACACCACCATCTTTTTTATCACCAAAAATTCATGGAAATGGCCCCTTCTATATGCGCTCAAGCTTAGGCTTATCTCACATACAACACATATCATAACAAAAGCATAGGTTTTTTTTAATGCTTGCTATTTACGGTTGGCCTACGCATAACAACGTTGCTCCGCCAATGGAACTACTCAATCACGCTCTGTCAGCTATCAGGCTCCCTCAACTGTAACATAACATAACATCTGCTAAATCAATTCTTTGAAACTAAGTATCCTCGTGGAAGTCCAATAGCAATATATGTGCCTACTAAGCTTAGAGCCACGCTTCGTACCTAAACGTCGACGCACTTCGGTTTGTTCAGGAAGCCTCTGATCTGACGCAGTTGTAGTAGGTTTTTTGCGGACGTGGGGTTTTGGAATAGTCGAGGCGAAAATCCGCGAATTTTCTACGCTTACGTTAGCCAGTTGCACTGTATTAGGTGTCATAGGTCAGCTTAAGAAAGGTAGATTCTTACATAAGCAATTCGTTTTAAATATGACGCTGATTATGAATAGGATACCCGTTACCTTTATCTTATGTTCGTTCACGTTTAAGTGTTATGTTGGGTACGATAATATTGGGCTCAGGGCATAAACGTGAGGTGCAACTTTAACCAATGCAACATTTATTCTTAAACATATACCAGGAAAACACAATCGATGTGCATAATTCTTTACTCAGTTGGGCTACGAGATAAACGATACATAGGAATTTCCCTTGTGTTTTCAACATGTTTGTAAATTGCAACATTTCTGTATATTTCGGATATGTATCAAATTTGTTGTTTCAGACAGGACTTGGTCGGACTCGCAAGCGCGCAATCGCCCGCCGACGAAGTCTTGAAGACAATACGTTTATTCGTTCGTGCCCGCACAAAAGCAGCCAAACAGCTGATCAGCTACAGAAAGTGGTACATATCGAACGGCGCGTCGTGGTTACAGAGAATAATTACGCACTGCATATGATGCCGTCGCTTAGCTATCGTCCGTGAACTTAGACGAACTTGACAGCCGTTGCTAAATTACACTGAGGTGACGACCGAATCACTGAAATCCACTGTCCGCATACGGATTTAGTGTTACCGATGTTCCATGCAAATTCGTGCAGTAACTTGTGACTAGTTCGGTGGACATACTTAACAGATAAACGATTAGAGGAGTGCGACCAAACATAAACAAGTTCTATTTCAGTGACAACACGTGAGTGTTAAGAACGTTCTTGTAGTCTTGCGTCCATATACAGTAGAGTAGTCAAACATCAACGAAATTTTACGCAGACCAGATATCTTCCGGCTGCTACTTACCCAAACACTACAAAGCAGTGCTAAAAAAGTGAGTGGAAGTGAACGACGGAATTGAGCTGATGCGTGAATGTCGAATCTAATACATCATAGCCTGTCTCTGTTCCTCTTGAAGAGTGTTCATTGTCCACAAACGGAAGTTGTTCGCCCTTTGCTGTTGTGACGGCGGAGGAAGTCCGCTAAACTTGCCATCTCCAGTTATCTATATATACAGCAGAAATTGCCGCAAGACAAAACCATCCTTCGACACTCTCTTTAGAGGATCTACAGCTCGCAAGACATTTCCGGAGTTTTTTTTCGATCCATTTGACGTAAAGGCTATCCTTGTAAAGCGAAAGGGCTCTTCCCCATAAAACCTATGAAATAACGAAATACTATGTAGTCGAGAAAAACGAAGCAGTAACGTACTTATTAAAAGTTATTCGAACAAAGAACATTACAGGGCGGTTACATTTAAAATCATAGATGTCGACCCGAATCCACTGAGTAAAGCCTACGAATATGAGATACAGTTTGTACCGATGCAATGGCAACGTGCCGGTCCCTCAATCAATCTACAGTAAGATTTTGTATTGCAAATTTTGCTTTCTCTATTGATATCGGTGTGTTTTTAGGATCTGTTTTTATTTTTTCGCCTTTGGGGGGGAATAATTTTGCTGGGAGTTGGGCTGGGCTACATTTTAGTAAGTTTGTACCATAATATCCATTATTTACATAGGAATCTACGCGACGGAAATATTTTACGTTTTAGTCACGAGTTCGCGATAAGATTGGCAAACAACCCTCATGTTTATATACTGAATCCGACATTTCCACGTTCAAAAACGGTGAAAAAGCGACGGCCACAATGCTTATCCATCGTTTAAGATGGCACTTACGAACACAACGTCGCCGACGTCACAGCGTTGAACAGCAAGTGGTGGGTACAAGCTGTGTGGGCGCAGGTGGGTAGGCTTTTTATGATAATCCCATTTCAGGATTCCTTCCCCTGGCCAAGTCTATATTTTTTACGAATCTTTACGTACGAGGCGTTCGCCTTCGGGACTTATCGAAAGCAACCGTCTAGCAACATGACGACGACGGTCACTAGCACTGTAGTGGAGACCGTCTCGGCATATTGTTCTGGTTTATATACAGGGGTCCTGTTGAAAGTGTTCCTGTATATTAATCGACAGTTCGCAGTTACCATCGCGGTGTCGTGGACTAACAACCATTAGAACTACGGCCACAAGCATTGCTGTGTTAAAGGATATAGTAAAATAAGTGCATTATTATAAAATAGAACTGTATTCTGTTATCTAAAATGCGTATGACCATAATAATAATAAGCAGGAGGGGTAATCCCTAAAGTTACATTATATATAACAGGCTTTTAACTTTACCGGCTTCGATACGCTAGCGTTTTTGAGAATTCCCTCGCGCGATTTGTGTTCCTGACATGATGGTGTGATTTTTCATCGATGAGAGTGTCGTCTTTGTGCATGAGTCGAAAACAACTGCTTGCGAACACTACCACTAGCGATTGCCATAAGCTCCTGTGGGAATTTCTATAATAGGCTTGACTCAGCATTAATAATGTAATCTTGGTAGCTTCTAGTAAATCTTTGCTAAGTGACTAAGATAACAACACAAAGGTTTATTATTTGTGGCGGGGTAAATATAATGCGTGCTTTATCATAACAGGCGTTCTTGCAACTCGGGGGCTGTCTAGCGGATGAAGCCCCGAGCTCAGCACTGGGACATAGCTTGGATAGATGGAGCCCTTAGTTCTACTTTTTTTTTTTTTACTTTCCTTCAAGCGTTCTTTGCCTTTTAGAAAGACTTTGAATCGTTTTGTTTACCTGACGATATAGCCATTTTGACCGTTCTGCATAGAAATTAGAATTTCTATTTAAGACCAGCTACGTTGTGATTGGAGTGCGGCTAAACTGCTACACGTTCCTAAAACGAATAGTTTCTTCCGCTCTTTAGCAGATTCCAGCCGCGGCGTTGCTATCTTCTTATGGCAAAACGCAATTGTAAGACTTAGCAGCCTAGCTGCACGTTGGTTCTGCAGGGCTGACTCCGTTCGAATCTAGTCCGATTTCGGAGAACCGCACTCGTATGAATAGTTGTGGGATGGCACCTCTATATTTATTTTGTTATTGAAATCGCGATCTGTGTACAATGGTAGCTTCACTGTTTGCAATGGCAAGCTATTGCGCATATAAACGATTGGTAAATGTAGTTCTAGGCATGCCAGCTAAGTTACGTTTCGTATGCGAATATGGCTTCGACCGTTCTGACCAGAGCACACATCTACAACGATGAACTGATACTTTAGGACACATGTTTCCATGTAGCCCATCCGTTGGCCATTGATCCCAATATTAGCTTGCGAAGAAATCGCCTTGACAAGACCTTTGGCGCAGGCGAATAGGAACTCAATGCTCAGGGATTGTTGAGCATTAGAGACCATTTTCAAATTGTTTCTTTGCTGAGACGAGTTAAATCTGGCACATTTGAAAAAGGTAAAAGCCTTAATAAAACATAATTTTCTTGAGCAGTTTTAGTTAGAGATATCTAAGTTCACTGTGATTATTATTTGATGGCTAATCTCTAAAATCTAGGTAAAACAGTTCTTTCTAATTCAATTTTGACTTATCCGGTATTTGTTAAATGTAAACAGAAGATGTATATCATCATCTTTCACCGGATACTCTTTTTACGTATGATTTGTCCCCTACATATGTATCACTGATCAGTGCAACTATGAGCGCTTTACGAAGAGGACAAGCATTATACGGTTTCAAACGACGAAATTGTAATTTCCTCGCTCTCTTTTCTTTTTCCTATCTTCTCTAACTCTCTTTCTAGGTGTCTTTTCAGATAAAGCCAAATCAGTGAAAACACTTCAAACGATAAATAGTGATACTTCTAAGTTTGACCAGGTTTAGGGTTTGCCGATAATTTTTTTGTCCGCTGGCGCTTGCTGCTCTAGCGCGCCGTTAGTTTCCGTTATACACTTGTTCCTTAAAGAATTACTTAAAAATTACATGCCGGCAGCGGTGTCTGCTTGTGTTCACGGACATGGCGATATTTCGAAGCAGCCAGCTATTCTTAATAAACATAAGGATATCATAGCCAAATGATGATCTGTAAACCGCTCTTAGTTTATGTGGTGTAGTAGCTATAATAGTCTATATTATATAAAACTAATTAATCCGTCCCGACAACACGTTTCGCGATTTCTATAATGTTTTCACTTCCATTCGAAGGATACGCATTCGAAACATTGCTTCCGGAACAGCACAATCTGTCGCCATTTCATTGTTAAAGAACCGACGTTTCTCATTAAGTTGTACTGGAAATCGGCTCATTTCAAAGAGCCTTTCTTTTTTTCCTAGACCTATGGTTTTTCTAAGGCGAAAAATATTCAGCTGCTTAAAGAAATTGGAAACAAGTCAATTAAACCAGTGTTAAGACGATGGGATATTGCGCCCTACGCCAAAACTCTTACCCAAATTATCTACCTAACGTTTGGATAAATGTTTCGAGTATTGCATTCAAGTATTGCTGTAGACGGTTGACTCCCGGCATGAAATATCTTGTCCTTGTCCACGCCAGGTTTCCGACTCAGCTTAGCACTTTTCTTTTTTTTTTTTGTTTGTAGACAAAGGCGTTACCACTGCATCAACATGTCGATTCTGCCTGAAGTTTGATCTGAGCATAAAAACATAAACTAAATATTTTCCCTACATGTCGTGCAATTTTTTTCTCTATAAACCCATGAGCGAATAATTACAAAAATCGTCGGCCTTCGAGATTGTCCGAACATAAATAGTTTAACCTTTTTTAGGCAATAGGGCATTAATATTGTTATTATCATTATGCACATGTAAATGACAGCTATCTTTAGTAATATAGTGGTTAGTTGACGTTCCGACAAGATATGATTCAATCTATCCACCCTTATCAGTATCGTAAAGACTATCTCTATGCTTTGGCTATCTCTATCTTTTGTAGCGAGAAGAAACGAGATTCATAGCTCTGATAGGTCTCTAAATACTAGGACTAGGAAAAACCCATGCCCATTTCATTTATCCCTAATTGTATATAAGTGTATTTGTCGTTGTCACGACTTTCGCGGAAACTTATACGAGACAGTAATCGATAAAATGAAGGTCTTGGGTGGAAACTTTTTTCTGTTTCAACGATATCAGTCAACTTGGCAACAAGGCAATCAATCTGCTTAAAATCATGTTTCCAGGCCGGCTGATCTTGATGCGCAGCGGTTTTGACGCTTCCTGATTTTTCCTGCAGACTTACATGAAGGGCAGGGTGCGTAAAACAATACCGAAAACAATTCACAATTTGAAACGTAGTTTTTGTGAAATAATTGATGAAATTAGCCCTGAAGTGTGCAGGGTTTCAGGTTAGAGTTGCATGAAAGGGGTCGAGTTATGCAAACTTGTCCTTAGAGGAACATTTGGTGTTCTTCATTCAAATAAAATGCAAATGGTACCATCTAAGGTGAACAAACATAAGAAACTTGCTTTTGCTTTCTATCCCTAATAAATTTTTACGCGTCTTATGGATACTATCTTGCTTGGGTCAGCGCGACCAGGAACCACGTTACCCTTGTCGCCATTGCAATTCAATTGATTTTGAGCGACAGTTATCATGGCAGCAATGGTGATGGCTATTGAGGTTTTAATTATACTGACTAGGCTTTAGCTCGCACGACCATGGCGGCTTACCATAAAAGACACATACTATCATATCCAGGCTCTCATTTTCCTGCTACTTCAGCCGAACCGCTCTATCCTACGGATGTTCGTGTCGTTCCGTGTGCTTGCTCCGATTTGTCGGTTCGTAGGCTGATCTTGTTTTAAGAGGATGTTATAAGCGAAGAATAAGCTTATAGATGGCAGTGCGCAATCTCCGGAAGCCATCGAGACATGAGATAGTTTATGTATCTCTGCTACGTGAAAAATATTTCAATTGCTTAATCGGCAACAATTTGTTACCCGTTGTTGAATACTATATGGGACCTTATCTTATATTATTCGAATGACTGTACTCGAGTTCATTACAAGCACATATTATTCGTAGGCTGGAATATGAATAAACCAGAGACGAAGTTATAGATGCGTATTCCATCATTGGCGCCTTTTTTACACAATTTACTGAGCCTTTTTGCGAGAGTAGAGCAATTACTGCTAGTTAGTACACTAAGATCCGTCACACTCATTCCTCTCAACGTGACTATGTGTTAGTTCACAAGCGCAGAGTTGTTAGTCTGGATTTCGAAACACACATTGCGGAAGGCCGCCTGGCCAGAATAAAAACAAAATCTAAATCCCATATAAAATTTCTGCGAGCCGTTCTATTTTCGTGTGAGGCTTATTTGAGTCCTTCTGGCTTCTTGCGAGACAGTTGACGATAGAATTAAATGATTTATGTGACTTGCTTAAGGATTATAGCTTTTACGCAACCAACAAGCAGGGAAGGTTTAAAAAATGTCAACTTAAACATGTTTGCATGATATATGCTTGTAGATATGACTCTACATTGTTA